CATAGAAGTTGGTAGTTACAGTTACAGCAACCAGAAACCACATAAATTCACATTTGAAAACAGGTCACAACTGAGCCGTCCCCAACTCACACGACTCTTCATGCACTGCACTTCCCTGGCCCTCCAACGCAGGGAACAGATTAATACAATTGCAGTACTCTGCACTCCAGTGAGACCAGTGCAACTGGTTCATGAGCCTGCATTTTCTTGGTCTGCATAAAGGGATGACAGGGAACCACAAAATTCCTTTAATACGTACCACACACAGTGGGGCACTCCTGCCTCAATATGCATTAGCTACTATGTACAAATGAATTCTAGGACTTAAACTAACACAGTTTTGGAATAAAAACCCAATACAGTTTTCTTGACCAGTTTTGGTTCTTTAATAATAATTTTGACTAAATTGTAATGCAAATGGTCAACAGTCTTAAAAAAATTCTTAAATTATTTAAGCAAAGAAAAAGAAACAACTCAAACTGAATATTATTCCTTGCGATGACAATAACTCTCTTGTGATTTAGACTTAACACGATTCAAGATCAATTCTTTATTCAGTAAGGTTTAGGTTTCTTTCTCCTTTTCAAATGCAAGGAAACTTTTCCTGATCATGCCTCTCTTCCAATCATCCTGTGAGCCATCAGATTCCCTTCAAATCATAGGCAGCAGTAAACAGAATACAGTTCAACAGGTATAAAAGAATAAGGCTTTAGGCTAAATCCTCATTTGGCACAAACAAATTTTCATTTACAATTAAGGAAAACTCAGGCCAATTTACATCAAGTGCAGCTTCTAAGAATCGGAAGGAAGAACCTACAGGGCATTAACACAGAATAACTCGGAAGTATCCGTGAAACTCACAGCTTTTAAAGAACCATTTCTTGGGTCAAATAAGAGGACGGTCGCTTGGTGAGAAGGGACAGAGGAATCCTTCTTGTGCTCGTAAAAAGTCACCAACTTGGTTGTCAGAGCATCATCAGCAGCACTGTAAGCAGGCATGACTCCTAGGAACCTTGGGAGAGATTCACCCGTATTACTTACATACCTACAGACACCGGCGCAATTAACATCTTGCAGTTAATCAGTAACTCGGTACCAAAGTTGTTCTACGCGGTCCCTTCCCCACCGCAAGCCCGGCTCCCTCCGTTCTCGCTCCGGAAGGGCCGCACAGAGCATCCCCCCGCTGTCCTGTCCCACCCCGGGCTCTGCCAGACCACCCCTCACAGCTCCCACCCTGGTGCCAGGCAGGTGGCCCCGCAGCCCGCCTCACCCGCCGTGCCGGTGTACCGGCACCACAGTGCGCACGGGCTGCGCGACGCCCCCCACAGCGCCGGACGAGAAGTTGGCCAAGGCGGCCTCCAGCCCGGGGAGCAGGAGGCTAGCGCGTTGCAGGTACTTCTCCACCTCCTCAGCGCCGATGAACACGGGCGGAGCAGACCCCATAGCGAGCACCGAACCGACACTACAAGACCGCGCACAACCAGTCGCCGAGCTCCGCCGCTATGTACTCGGCGGGGGACCCGCCCCCGTCCCCGGCAGCACCGCCCAGCGCCCTCCGCCTCTCCGCGCCGCGCTGCCCTCACGGGCACGGCGGGAATCGCCGCTCAGAACCGCTGAGGGCCGCTCCGCAGTGCGATGCGCGCTCCTGACCCGCGCCCCCCCAGGCACCGCCGGTCTCCACCCCTGGTCAGACACCGCTGCGGGGCATGCGACTGCCCACACCGCCGCGAAGGGTCCGGCCGCAGCTCATTTACGGTTCACCACAACGCGGGGCCACCACGGGGACCCCGAGGGCTGGGACAGCCCCGCTGAGCGGGAGGCGGCGGCACTCTGCGCATGCACAAACGCCGAGGACGCCGCAAAGCGTCGCTCTCCCGTCGCGGAGTGACTGTCGGCGCGAGCAGTAGAGTTTGGGTCTTCTCTCGCTAGAAAGTCAAAGCGGCGCAGGGCGTGCCGGGAAGGTTGAGTCCTCTTCCAGACAGCCATCTTCTCGCCGGGGCTGAGCTGAGGGGCGCGGAAGGATGAAGGGGTTCCCGGTGGTGGCGCGTTCCCTCTCGGTGAGGATGACCTGGACGCCTTGGGTGTAGCAGGGGAGAGGCATAGCGTCAGTTGACAGCGCTTGCCTGGGTCCCGGCGGCCGTGGGTGGGCCTGACCCCAGACAGCTCCGGGTCGGCAAACCGGGCGGGCGAGCTGGGGGTCGGCGTGTGAGCGGCTGTGGGGCTATCAGCGAGGGGCGTAGAGGGGAGGCCAAAGCCGGCGGCGAGGCGGATGGGCAGATGGTGGAGTGGGGCGGCGGGGCTGAAGGTCAAACAGGCCGCGGGCCGGACCCGGGGCGGCCTCCGCGCAGCGCTGTGGCGGGGAGCTGCGGCAGCGGCGGCGGGTTTCTTGGGTGCTTCACCTGAGGTCTTTCCGGCCGGCGATGCAGGGCTGCCGGTGTGGCCAGGGAGGAGGATCCCTTGTCGCTGTTTGTGGCAAGGTGCCCTTGACAAGTAGGGCTTGGCAAGTGGCTCTTCCCCGGGCGTGGAAGGGGCAGAGGGCTGCTTCTGCTGCAAAGGATCCCCTGGAGGCCTCCGGCAGCTGGAGTATAATTTGTGTAGGTCTTCACTGGAAAGCAGTGATGGTGAATGACCTCTGAGTCATAGTGTGTTTGCAAGTCAATTCTAGACTCTCACTAATAATTCATAAATAAGTAGGTTTAGTGGTTAAAATTTCTGTTTGGGGAAGGAAGTACTTTTTCCTGGACTCATACATTGAACAGAGTATGTGGAGTTATGTCATTGGTATCCCTTCAATTGACTGCAGTGGGGTGTCTGTCACTCAGTGTTTACTTAGAGATGTATGAGAATTAAGTTGGGTTTTGGTTGTTGGTTTTGTTTTGTTTTTTTTTTTTAAATGTGAAGAATAATAAATTTGGTGTTTTTTTTAATAATCATAAGAAACTTCAGAAAGGGCAGAAGGAATAGCATTTCAGATTTGAAATTAAAAGTGTTGTTATTTCTGCTACCAGCTAGTTGCAGTGTTCACTTCCTCAGTTTGAAGGCCTGCTTCTGGTTATTGCTCTGCAGTCTGGGGACTTCCATACACATCCTTTTTGTATGCAGCAGTCAGTGTAGCTCTGTTGGTGAGAGAGGTAATTCTTTAAGAGTTGAACTGCCTACACCTAATAAGTTGGAAAGTTGTCTCCAAAGTTATGTTCTGAGTGTGTGGAATTCTGTGGCTTTTTTTTTTGAGTTAATTGCTACAAGGTGGTCCTACAGACTATACCGTATCAGTAGAGATACCCAGTGCACAACAGCAAAGAGAGGGAGGGGGGAAAAGCTTTCTTACAATGCTAATTCTTGAGAATAGCACCAAGGTCCAGGGACCTCATGTAAGTCATTCCCCAGGTTCTAGCAGTGATATAAAAAAACCAAAAAACAAAAAACAACTGTCAGAGGAATTACAAGGGAATCACTGGTTTTACTCTGGGACTTGAAGTTGTTGATTATATTTCTACTTCAGAATTAGTTGCTTCTTCAGTATGTAATGGAATGTGCAATGAACTAATTCAGGGAATCCATTTTCTTATGCTTTCTCTTCTAGAAGAGATTTTACTCACTTAAGGTAGCCCCTAAAATTTCAATCTCAAAACCTGCAGAACGAGTGAAATTATCTCAAGAGTCTGAGAATCTTGAGGTCAGTATGAATGCTGGTATTTTTTTTTCTGTCCCCTTTTTATTTTGTAAAACTCAGAGTAGGGTTGTGACAGTATTTCTAGTGTGTAACTAAACCAAATGTTTTTCTGTTTAATACAGATCACAAAATTGCCAAATGGCTTAGTTATTGCCTCTCTAGAAAACTTTTCTCCAGTTTCAAGAATTGGTGTGTTTATTAAAGCAGGCAGCAGATATGAAACCACTAGTAACTTGGGAACTACTCACTTGCTTCGTATTGGACCGAATATGGTAGGTGTTTGTTCACTTTGTTATTATGTTGGCAGTAGATGAAATGGTGAAAAGTTTATGATGCAAAAGTAAAGGATACAGTAAAATTTAGTGTAAGAGATCTTATAAAGTGGAAAACAATGTACATTGTTTTTTTGGTTACCTGGTTCAAGTGCAGGAGAAATGACATTACTTTCTGGAAGACAGGATGTGATGCTTAATTTAGAATTAATGCTCTCCAAGTGGCTTCACTTATACAAGATGCTCTGGAGGAAGATACAGTAGGTTCAAAAAAAAAGAATTCGTCAAATTAGGGTAGCAGGTCTTTAAGGAGTTGCTAATAGGAGCAACTCCTGCAGGTACTGCAGGAATACCACTGAGCAGGTTGTGGTATGTTACATTTAAACAGCCTCTTCTGTTGCCGCTGTTCAGAAGGTTGGGCAAGCCTTCCTACAGCTTGACCTACTGTGGCCCTTCCCGTTGTTCCTGTTCATCTCAGTTGCTGTCTGGCTGTGGGGGCAGATGTGAACAGCCAGACTGTGACAATTAATGCTACACAGCACCACTGACAAGTCTGTGACTGCTGTTGCATGGGTTCAATCCACATCAGCTTCAGGCAGAAAAAAAGAACATCCCAGCTGCTTATTGCCCTTCCCAACTGCTGCCTGAAGTTCCATCAGACAGCTGTCAGTGTGATAGCATGTGTAGGTGTTCTTGCCCTGGTTTTGTCAAGTTTATCTAATTCAAAGAATCCTAATGTTCAAGCGAACCTGGATCATTCTAATATGGAGCTGGGGAGCAAATATGTGACCAATTAAACTGGAAAATCGGGAGGATGATAGAAATGATTGGGAGCAGGGGTGCAATAAGCTGGCTCAGAATGGCTTCTGTATAAATGAATAAACAGATACTGTTTCCACGTTGCTTGAGCACTGAACAACCTCGGGCAAGTCTGTTCTTAAAATAGCTGGAATTCTAAGTTGCTTTTTTTTATTTCTGTAATAGACTACTAAAGGAGTATCTTCTTTCCGGATTACTCGTGGCATTGAAGCTGTTGGGGGCAGCCTGAGGTTTGTAACCATGTTAGGATGTGTTTTGGTAACATGCAAACAAGCTACATGATTAAAGGAAACTTAAAACAATAAGCACAACAATACAGAGACAGATAAGCTCAGTGTGGTAATGCCACTTGATTGGTGAATGTTGACAAGGAACATCTTCTGTACTTCTTGTTCAGTGAAGGTGCAAAAGTGTACTACCCATGGTTTGTGTTTTTAGAACACCTTTTAATTAACAAAACATAAATGTTGTGTACCTGGAAGAAGCATAATTTGTCCAGAAAGCTTAATGTTCTTTTTCTTTTTTCAGACTTTGAGATTGAACTTTGTGAAGTCAGTAGATTATTTTTTTTTTCTACATCTTTTGTGAATAGATACCACTCATGACACTGCAATTCTGGGAACAATTCAGACAGTAGTTGGCTTTCATGATTTGAGAGTTTAAAGCCTAGAAAACAAGCCTAAGAGAAATAAAAGAGGGATCTTGCTGTGCCTGCTTTCTTGCAATGTGTCTTGAAATCATCCAGTAAGATTGTTTTACATAGATTTTGGTTAAATACAATGTTTTCTATAACTTGAGACTCCGACCCTTTATTATATTCCTATATATTCCATATATAGGAATATATGTTCCTATTAGTCACAAATGTGTTGAAGCAAGTGGGGAGTTTTCTGCCCAAAGAGAACAATTTCGAAGTTGCCTTGTTTAATACATACACACATTTGTCTTCAAGTTTTGTTATTCAAACTTATTTGTTGTTTTACCTTGAATTAGCATTGTATTTTAAATTCTGATGCTCACAAGACACTTGTTATTACTACAATACTTAGGATGGGAGTTCTAGTTATGTCTGTTTCTGCTGTGTGTGCATTATCACTCATTTTAAATGGTCATGTCAAGCAGATTTAAGGTTAACTAGTTATTGAGGGGAGGAATATGTGTGAAAAACCACTTCTGTGTTCTCTGCTGAAATGGGGTTTGTATTTTTTCTCGTTTAGTGTGTACTCAACAAGAGAGAAGATGGCTTACTGTATTGAATGCCCACGTGACTACGTGTAGGTATCTAGATATGCTGTAAATGGCATTGCATGCTTTACAAACTGCTGTGTGGTGGAGACCGTTTTACAGGGTAGGAGGAATATGTATTTTTGTGTTTGTCTACTAAATCAAACTACTATATTAATATCCAGTTTCTGTATCGCATTACTGAGTATATGAATGCTGCAGAACTGAAGTGGAATTTTGGCCCTCTGTAGGGCAGTGCTAGTAACTACTCTGGCTTGTGTGATACATTTTGTTGTTAATACGTTGCTTACAGATTAGTTTAACTTGCTTTCAACTTCAAAAGAAATATGTGCTACTTCTGTTGTGCTTAATGCCTTTGTAACTTTTTAATCTAGTGATACAGTTATGGAGTACCTTCTTAATGTCACCACAGCACCAGAGTTTAGAGCATGGGAAGTAGCTGACCTTCAGCCTCAGTTAAAAGTTGACAAAGCAATTGCTTCTCAGAACCCTCAAGTTGGTAAGTGTACTTTCTGATCTACTGCACTGGCTTCAGGGGAGTTTCCTCAGAATTAAACACTTCTGGAAAAAATAGTTTCTCCCCTTTTGTTCTGTCATGTGACCATTTAATCTTTCAGTTTTTCCCTATGGATAGGTATGGGTCTTTCTGTTGTTACAGAACCCTTTTTTATAAATACACAAGTTTTTGTAGCCTGTGTGTAACATTCAGCAAGTAACATACTGATGACAGCTTAAGCCATTCCCCAAGGCAGCTTCCATTTCACCTTTTTAATTTAAGTACAGCTAAAGAATGTGCAGGACATGACTCTTGTTGACAGTATATTTGCAGCAGGTTGTGTTCTGAAAATGATTCTTAGGTATTGCTCACCAGTGCAGAAAAGACATTCTGCAAAAGACCTCTTGAATTTGTATGGTTATTTTGATAGAAAACCAGTATGGATTTTCATTACACTGAAAATGGATTCCAGCTTTAGGGTTATGAATTTAGGTTTGTGGGTTTGAAAAAAACCCAAAACAAACCTAAACACAAAGGCTCAGCCAAACCAATGCATTTGGATGAAACTTCCAAGTGTATTAGATTATTCTAGACCTGCTTTTGCAGATCTTGTGGGTACTTAAAAAGGCCCACAGCTCTGTTTCAGTGGGTTGACATTTCATTCATGATCTTCACTAAAAGTGGCTCTTACGTTAATCATCATAATTGAAATGTTGTTCCCCTTAGGAGTGCTGGAAAACTTGCATGCTGCAGCCTATAAGAATGCTCTGGCAAACCCCTTATATTGTCCAGACTACAGAGTTGGAAAAATTACTTCTGAACAGGTAGGATTATTTGTGTTGTGTTATGAAGCTGTTTCAGTTTCTTTATCAAGGATGGATGATGACACTTGAGAAAGTAAGCACTGACTATACTTACTATATGAATTTTCTGTCTCCTGTGCATAGTAAGGTTGTCAGTGAAATGCAAGTGTTCTTATATAAGAGGGTTTGTCAGAGAATGTGTAAAATGCTGTTCTATAGACAGCTCCTTTTGGAAACGGTGGAGTTTGCTGCATGAAGAAGTGTAAGGGGGGATGTCAGAAACACACTTGCCATTCTTTATAATTTATGGAAAGTACTCTAAAATACGAATTTACTGTTGCAGCTCCACGATTTCGTACAGAACAATTTCACAAGTGCAAGAATGGCTCTAGTAGGATTAGGTATGTATGTTCTTTAATGGGCATTGCAATTCGTAAAGGAAAACTGGCATGGAAGGTGGAGTTCTCCATAGAAGTAAAAAGTTACGGTACACTTAAAATATTTTTATGTAACTGCTGTAGGTTTTCAATGCCATTACATTACTTGGAATAACTATTGTGTTGCAGGTGTGAAGCACTCCGTGTTAAAGCAAGTTGCCGAGAATTTTCTAAATATCCGTGGTGGAGCTGGTGTTTCTGGTGCAAAGGCTGTCTATCGAGGGGGTGAGTCTGTGTCTTGTATCTGTTCTGGATGACTCTTTTCTGCTCATTGTAAATGTAGTAGTATTCAAAGTTGCAACTGGAAACAATATAGTAGTACTTAATGCTGTACATGGGAAGTGACAGTTCAGACATCTCTCATCTAACTAAGCAGAGGATTATTCCTCACCATGGGAAGTTCTGGGATAAAACTGAACATGTATTTCCAGTAAAGCTTTACCTGTAGGATCATTTATTCCATAAAGTGGGAAACAAACTGGCTTGTGGTTTCTCTTGGCATTTTGGGTAAGATTTGCTGAAGAGTAGATTAAGGACTGTCTGGAAGTGGTGGCAGTTTTTCTCTTTAGGGAAGATCTATTAGAACATTGTAAATCTTTCATAAAAGATAATGTAACACTTAACTGTTTCAGAGCGGTATTGTGTACTAGTTAATACCAGTACCCAATCTTTACTTGGAGTATCAGGTCACTCTGACCAGATGGGGAAAATTAGTTTTCAACATTTAATATTTACTTGGGATAACTTCATTTTCTGTAAAACAGGATCAATACTGTTCTGAACAGAAGGCAATGCTTCTTTCCTGGGTATTTGTTATCTGAAGACTTGCTGGGTTTTATTATCTCATACTATGTGTGGTTTAGGGTCAGTTTCAAATAAGGCAGAGGAAGGTGCATGGGTTTGTGATTGCAAGAAAAATTTTGAATATTAAGGATTGTTTATAATTACCTATAATCTACTAACAGCTCCTTGCTGTTTTCCTGAGTGGTTATTGCAACTTCACACCCTGGCTTTTCTCTCATGAAACAAACTCCGGGCTAGGAATATTTCCTTTCAATACCTCTGAATGTATAGTAGTTTCTAACTGAATACTGTATTACTTTTTATTCTGTTGTTGTGTTTTTTAGGAGAAGTCAGAAAACAGAATGGTGAGAGCCTTGTCCATGCTGCTGTTGTCACAGAAGGAGCTGCTGTTGGGAGTGCAGAAGCAAATGCGTTCAGTGTTCTTCAGCATGTTTTAGGTGCTGGGCCCCTTATCAAGAGGGGAAGCAGTGTTACCAGCAAATTGTGTCAGGGTATTGCTAAGGCGACTACCCGGCCATTTGATGTAAGTTCAGAGGTTTATTGTACTCTGATGTTTTAAGTAAAACATTTATTATCCTTTAAGAGTTTACTACCTCCAGGTACAATCATAATTAGTTCAGTCTTGCACAAGTTACAGTATTTCAGAGGACTTCCAGTCTGATCTTTCCTCTGCACAGATGGAGTTTAGCTTCCTGACTTACAGTATTTTAGATCCTGATAGTAATTATTTTTCTATGCTTGATGTTGAGTTGTTCTGATACATGAAACAGTTGGTGATAATGTTTGTTTTGCAGGCTTCCGCATTTAATGTTAATTACTCTGATTCTGGGCTCTTTGGGATATATACTGTATCCCAGGCTTCAGACACTGGGGAGGTGAGTTGCTGATTAGAATTTAACTATTAGGAGCATAACCCTCAAACTAATTTTCATTTGAGATAGACCGATTCATCTAAAACACTCAGTTCATCTGGTTTCTTATGTGAGAATGCTGCATGTTCAGTTATAACTTAGCTTTGTAAGCTGGGATCGAGACTTGCTGTCTGGGAAGTACAAATACCTAATACAAATGAGAGCTAGTAAAATACCTTGGTTGCTGACTGTAATTGCTGACTTACATGTGTAAGCCTAAGTATATCATAAGGAACATGCTGGCTCTTGAAGCCAGCAGAACTGAGTGAACTGTGATGAAAAAATGGTGAGACCATACAAATCAATGTGGTGTTGCAGTTTCATTCCGCAGTTGATTTTGTGTCTTGCTTGGGCATTTATTATGTAATTATTATGGTTTTAGTTTTGTTATGAGGCTGTTTAGAAGTGAGTTCAGGCAGACAATCGTGACATCATCAGCTGCTCTGAAGTTTCTGAGATGTCATGTAATATAAATAACATGTTGAAATTTAATGCTGGAAGAAGTCGTAACTGATGTAATTTTCCTCAGGTGATTAAAGCTGCTTTGAACCAGGTAAAGGCAGTTGCTCAGGGCAGCATCACTGATGATGATGTCACAAGGGCAAAGTAAGTGCATAAAGAGCTCTCTTGTGTGTTGTAAAGAGAAGTTTCTTAACATGTAGCTACTTGTCAAACACTTAAATTATTCTGTACAGCAGAGCTTATCCTTGTCCTGTAATTATTTCCATGGGGAACTGCTCATTTTCCTCTGTTAAAACTGAAGCAGTGTCAGTAGGGTTTTTTTCCCAAAGCGGTACTGATCCTCTGCTAGTGGTATTTCCTTATAAAAACTTGGTAGATAATGGTTTCTGAAAACTGTTTCAGTGTAAGGTATCAGCAAATATCCACAGATGCTGTCATTTTAATCATACTCTGTAGTGTTAAGATGTATTCAAATTAGATTCCTAAATTGCATTATTCAGGTAATTCCCTTTAGAGTTGCACTGCAGCAGTTCCCAAAACAATTACATTAAACAATCTTCTGCATCTTCAAAGAATAGTAGTAATGAGGGTCTGCAAGTGTAAAGCACTGAATTAGCGCTTTAGTGTTTGAAATAATGTGCCTATAGGAATATTTGAGATGTGGGGGAAATTACTATTAGAGATGCAGTAAAATCAACAAAGTTTTAGGATTTCTAATTTATAGAGGGCTGTGCACACTAGTTGAGCTTAATCTCCAGGTGGTGTTAGACTGCACTGAGCCTTTCGAACTGTAGTTATGCAATATGACAATATGGTACAGATTCACTCAAGTAGCAACATTAAAGTATTGCCTATTACACATGCAAAATACTTACAAGACTCCATGTAAAGCCTGCTTACAGAAAACGTAATAACCTAGACATGCTTGGTTGTGCATTAGTCACTAGTAGCTAAATGATGAATTCTGGACCTTTATATGTGACATTATTTGTTGTGTGTGTGAATTGTTTTGTGGGGCTTTTTGGGTTTGTTTGCAACAAAGCTGCTTAGTATTAGGGAGTTAAAGTACTGTGGCTTTCTGGGGGGAAGAGGGGTTCCTTTTCCTCGAATGGATTCACATATTTTCTATCTTGCTCTTTTTTCTTTAGTGACAACAACCAACCAACCAACCAAAAACTAACCCAAAAACCAAACCAAATTCAAGGCCAGCGATATTTGCAGTCTGGCAATTCAGTCTAATCATACTCTATTGGAATGAACCATTTTCTGCCATTTTGTTGTTTAAAAAAATCATAGAATGACTAGCTTATAAAAATCAGATTTTCATAGGTAGCAGTGAGTGCATGAAACAGAACAGTGTAAACTTGCTATCTTTTAACAGAACATGGAACTGTTGCTTAAGGAGCCTAACCATTGACATCCACTGCTGCTTTGTCACTTCCAAAAAAATAGCTCTCCATTGTCTGTTCTTGATGAGAAACTGGAATCCATTTTAAACCTAATTTTTAAACTTGATGGATTAGTTTCTCTGAATCCTGTGGTACCTGCATCAGTTCCTTCAAACAGAAACAAATTCAGAGCTTGAGATCTTCTGACTGCAGGAGGTGGCAGTTGGTGCTGGGGTACCCTGTCATTTTCATGCTTGGAGTATTTGTGGTACCTCTTTGCTACATATACAGAACCCTTCCATACTTGAAAAGGAAAACCTTCCAAAATGGAGAGGAATCTTGAAAACTTAAAAAGCACCAAAAACTCGATGCGCTTACAGGCGTGGTAGCTAATAACAGGACTTTTATGTTCACTCATCCTTAATGCTTTATTTGATGGCAGAAATCAGCTGAAAGCCACCTATTTGATGTCAGTGGAGACTGCAGAGGGGTTGCTGAATGAAATAGGCTCAGAGTCTTTGATGTCTGGCACGCACACATCGCCATCTGTTGTTGCTCAAAAAATCGACTCTGTAGCCAGTGCTGATGTTGTGAGTGTAAGTATGTGTAAGCATTACAGGTGTTTATTAATCACTGTGTAAGTGGTTTTTGTACAAAACGGGTGCTCATTTATGTATGTATATAAACACACACACACACACAATCTTTTAAAAAAGCCAAGGCAACTTACAGCTCCCAGCTGCCTGTCTTGTTAGGCCTTTATTAACAGGAGACCCTTTAATCCAATATGCTGCAAAACTAGCGTAGCTGGGAGTGTATGAAATTCTCATCTACTTTACTTGAGTTTACCAAAACTGTCAACTAGTATTCAAGAAAAACATGATGCTAGTTCCAGTGCAGGCACTTCTATGTCAAAGGTTTTAGGATTCCTGAGCCTAAAATATTTGCTGTGCTTAATAAAACGATTACTCTTTCAGTAATAAACTGATGTAGGCACATTGCTATTCCAGTTCACTTTGTTGCTTAACAACTTGAAGCAAACTTCATACAGAAATCCATCAGACATTCTAAGAAAACTTGTTTTTTTCACAGTTATCACTATTTTGTGTTGGAGTAGCAACTAGCAATAGCTTTAGTAATAAGGAAAGATCCACTGTACACTTGTGGTGTAATAATTATTCTAGACATAACTATTTTCTAAGAGTTTATGCCTTTTATATCCAACTGTCATTCTGCCATTCCTGTTTAAAGTAAGAAGGATCTAGAATAGAAACAAGTTTTGACAGCAAAAAGAAAACTGTTTGTTTGACGTATGATGGTAATGTTGGGATTTGGCTTTTGCTTTAATAACTTGAAGCTGAGGCTGTGAGCAGCAAGATAAATTCTGTTGTGGTGAATATTTCCTCATATCCATCTTTCCGATGTATTTTCAGGCTGCCAAGAAGTTTGTCAGTGGGAAGAAATCGATGGCAGCTAGTGGGGATTTGGGAAATACTCCTTTTCTTGATGAGTTGTAAAAATGAAACCGGGATGCAGATTCACAATGGACCTACAATGAGCTCTAAGTCACCTATGCTCTAAATAAATTACTACTAATTTGTTATTTGTGCATTCAGGTATTTCAGCAAATTTCTCTCAAGTAATTGTGGGCTTGCACTTGTCAAATAAAGTGCTGAGTTCATACATTGTGTGGATTTTTTTTTTTTTTTCCTACTGAAAATGGTATGTAAAATGCTGGTAAGTCTGGCTCTGTATACTGAAGGTAGAACTACAGTGAGCATATAAGATGACATTTTAGTCAATGGGAAAAACAGATATATCATAATGATAACTGTGATGCAGACAAATACTGTGATTGCCACGAGCTGTCTGTGTATTCTTGTATGTTCAGGAGGGGTTCGTGATCAACTGTGTCCACCATCCTTATATCAAGAAAATGAAGAAACTTGCCTTCAAAGAAAGATGAATATATTAGACCTTCCTAGAGCTTGCAACTGCTACTTGTCAGGGATGAGCAGAGGTAGTGTCTCTGACTGTCTATTCCACAAGTAGTACTGATTGACATCTTTGTGGGGAGGGAAAGCATTGCTAAAACAGCTTTCTATAGCTAATATAGCATTTCAAATATATTGGGACACTCAGATTTTTTGAAGGCATGTATTAGAAGAAAACAGACACAATACAACTTCAGAAATTTATACTGGGACAAGTCGGGTTCTTAGGTATTCTGCAGCAAAGCAAATTCTTCCAGATGGGATGTATGTGATACAGAAAGGCAGGAGGAAGGGGAACTGGTCTCATAGTTTTCTGTAGTCCGGTATGAAGGAGCACTAATACCACTAGTACCAAACTCAGGATTGTATGATGCTTCAACATCATTATGAAGAACAGCATCACAAACATGGTCTGTACCTACCCCAAGTATCTGGTCCTTATCAGGTATCTGCTAGATTTTGTGCATTGATTGTAACTTAGGAGTGAACTCACAGCAGTATGACTGGGGAGATTTATACTGAAAAATTTACAAGCCTACATCATCATCACTGCTGGACCCGATGCCATCTTCATCGTAGTCTGTGCTGAAAATACAGAAAATATTGGTGTTACTTCAACATGCAGTAATTCCCGCAGCCATTTAGTTCACTAATAATGGACTCTTGTTCTAAAGACAAGTTTATTAGTTCTGAAGCTGCTCTAATATCAAACTAATACTATTTTCCATAGTCCTTTGCATGCTATTTCCCTTGCACTCCACAACCGAGTTGTAATTCGGTCACCAGAAAAGCAAGCTGTCCTTTTTCTGTTCCTTCAGAGTAGAAATAATTTGATGTATTTAAACATAAGCATCCAGGTTTAATCTCTTAGAAAGCCCCTTGCTTCCAAGGAAGCTCCAGCTTCATTTCTGCTGTTCTAGCCTAATTATTCCCTTTAAATACTCAGTTCCTTCCCCTACCTTTTAGGCTTCTTTTCTACTAAACCTTTGTGCCTCAGGAAAACTTGTATCCCATCTACATTAATCATAACTGAAGTTCAGTTTCAAAAGTCATACTCATTAGCCACTGTCAGTAGTTAAGACTGATTAAAGAACAGATAAGCTTTTTAGATGGTGGTAGCAAGACCTCCATCTTGGTACCCTCAGCTACTTGCAGTTGTTGGCTATGACAAACTGATACGGCCTCTAGACTTCAGAGGCGTTCCTGCCAGCCAGACTTCTGCTTGCTGTGGAGGCAGGAAGGGGCATATCTAAAAATGCTCATCCTGACCCTGTCTCCCCTGTAGCTAGAAAAATGAGCTTTTCTTCAGTATATGTTCAGTTCAAATCACAGGTTTCTATTTCAGAAAAAGAAAATACTAAACTGTAAAAGCTATTACACTATTTCTCATTTCTCACTGGAATTATAAGCAACATGTGAAATTCTAGTTATGTACAATAGTTATTTCTTACTCTACTGACACCACAGGCAGCTTTACTTCAGGAATTAATTCAATTGCACTTTGCCAGTCTTGAGGTACTTCAACAAAATCTCTGTAAACTCTGATTTGTAGAGTTGTCCCTATAGGAATATTGTGCAGGAGTTGCCTAAGCTGTTGCAGGGTCCATCCCAAAATGGTGGCATGTCCAATTTTTATTAGAACATCCCCTGCCATGGAAGAAAGCATACAACAATCAGTTTAAGAGACTTGATTTTTAACTGTTCATATGATAAAATATGTAATCTTACCACTATCACATTTTTATTGCATGTGTTTGGCATTTCTTTTTCTTTCTATTCTAATGAAAATGATTTTAGCTCTGTTAAGAACTAACTGTTCACAACACTAAGGAAAGCTGCAGATGGCTTGTTTACATCAGGATTTTTCTGAGTGAACATGATAAACTTTGGGTTGCTTATTCAGTGCTATCTTCCATTTCTGTGGGGTTTGGGGGCCAGATACAGGTAGAATGGTGAATGTTCTGATCAGGATCGCTACCTGGAACCAGACAGACTCCAACAAGGTTCAGCTGAGGTTTTACAGCTGCACATGTCACCTTGTGTTTGTCTGGGTCCCTGGAGGCTTTCAGGGTTGGCTCTCCTTGGTGGCTGGCGCCTGTAGCTCTGCTGCCAACACATGGGTACATTGCAAGACAATGTCAAGCAGGCCAGAGAGGACATAGGAGGTGTTTACAAGAGCTGGTGCAGAAGCTGAGGAGTTCAAGCAGAAAGTGGTGGTGATGTTTTTTGTTCGTTGGTTTGTTTTAAGGGATAAAGCTGCAAATAGCATTATCTACTGCCAGTGGAAAGCACTGAGCTGCAGTTTGGCAAAAAGCAGTACTGCATCCAAGAACAACAGAGTACAGAAGCCCCAGCACCTATATATACCATGGGGTGTAACAAGGTGGGCTTTGAGGGTTTGGGAGAGTTGGAGTTAGTGTGTAAACCTGTAGTTTTGGAGACTGCAAAAGGCAAGCAGAATCTTCCTGCAGCAGACTACAGCTCCATGAGCAGCCTGGCAAAAGCAGTTGCACAGCGGAGCAGTATCAGTAAGCATTATGCACTGAACTGCAACAGAGCAGCATAGGGGATTTAAAAAATCAGTAGTTGTCTGCTGCCACATTAGCAGAGCAAGGAGTCTCTCTCCATCTGTTCTATTTTCTTTATATCCCTTTTGGGTTAAAAATGCCTATAGCAAAAAAATTGCAGGCTTTCAAACTGTTTACCTGAACTACTACCATTTTTTCATTCTCCTTTTTCCACTGACCACCCCATCTACTCCATCACTATGACACCCTCTCTCCACTCTGTTTTATCACAAGATACTGGTTCTACTGGAGTGCAAACAAGAAGTTCTATAGCAACTATAAGTGTAGCAGATAACAAAAAAAGCAACAAAATATTTTACCAACAGTTTTATGTAAGCTCTCAGCATCAAGCAGAAAGATAAATTACCCAAATTCATGTTTCAAAATGCACAGACATAAATTTACTTATGATGTAAAGTATCGCAAGACACTCTTGGCTTTGAATAGATTCTTTTAGAATTCATTTTTTTTTCTGCCCATCCTGTTCTGATAACACTGCTGTAGTGAGTCAAAGCCATCTCTGAACTGCAGATGGAGATAATTTTGCTCCTTTGCTCCAGCAGCTAGGGTCTGAACCACACAGTTTTTCAGCTCATCCGTCAATGATTTTGTGATTCATATCCTTCAGTGGCCACTGAAGATTAACGTGGAGAAAATCTCTTGCACTATGAAGGTATGCTGAGGAGACATGTCCTAAGCAGCCCTGTTTCTTCTTGCTGGCATGGAGAATAGGGCGTGCATAGGTACATATGAGTTTGGTAAATACAACCATAGAAGTTTAAGATATTAATGCCTCCCACTGCATCTGTTAATTTCTAGCTCCTCCCATTAAAGTCAGCAGAATGGCACCAGCTCTTCCAAGCTAAAAGCAGTTATAAAACTGTTCTTTTAGGTTTCTGTTTGACATTGTATAGATAACACTCAATCAACTGGAAAACAGTTAAAGATAAAACCTAATTCACTGCAAGAAAAAATCTTAGGCAATACATTTGTGTATCATATTTTTCTCAAGCCCATGCTCTGTACATTGGTATTAATGCCAAAATAACTGTGCTGCCTGTGGTATCCTTGAGGGATGGAGCTTCTACAAAATTTTACAGCTTTGGTCTTAAAGGTTTTGTAAGTTCACTCTACACATGAATTGATCAAATTCAGCTGTTTGCTGTTGTTTTTTTTTTTGTGTGTGTGTGTGGAATATGCTGAGTTAGATCCAGGTGCTCCATGAAGCATGCTCAGATTTTTTCTTTTGGTTCCAAAACCTAAGATCAGCTACTACAAAGGGACAGTGTTTGTTACCAGTCCCTAGCCCCCTTTAAACTGTTCAATACTTGCTACAGTAAATCAAACACATCACATACTGTAAATAATTTGACTCCCTGTCCTTGTAGGCTTTATTGAAAATGCTTTTGGAGCTTGCCTTTTTCAAACTATTGCAAACAGGACTACTTAGTTTCAGTGACTAATATTATGTATGTTTTACTTTATAGATGTAAAAAAACCTTAAACCAACAACCAAATCAGTATCATATATATGGTTTTGTATAATATAGGGTTTGGGGATTTTTTAGGGAATAGATACAAGCTATCAGCTCCTAAGATAATAAAGGTAGTTAATTCAAATACAAATCCATTCCTGTATTATGTTCAGGATTTTTCCACCGATTTCTATACAGGGATCAAAAATGCAAAGCCTTTTCTAAAATGAGGTTAAGAACTCTACTCACTGGTTTTTATTTCATCAAACAAGTAGATCTTTCTTCTTCTAATTCTCTTTGAAAGGTGCAAGAAGAAAGAACTGCCCAAATTATAAAGGTGATGCTGGGAAAATGGTTCTAATCTAAGGATGTGCCTTTGCACTGTACAGCAGTGAAGTTCTAAATGATCTGATTACACTCAAGTCATAGCTTCATAGATTTCTACATTAGAGACAATTTAATATTTAGTAATAACATAGCACACTGACATCCGAAACTGTAGTTCCTGAGTCTAACATAATCGGTCTAGGGACCCATGTAAAGCATTCACGTTTACAGAGCTTTCAATTACAAGCTTAATATAGGTGTCTGATGTTCCACAAGAAACATTAATAACCAGTAATAGTCTGTTAGTACTGATACAGCACATTTCAGGTTTAAAGCATTTAGCGAATGAACACCTGCATGGATTGGTAGAGCACAGAGATTTATCTATTGCCACTTTGTAACTATTCTGTGTAATACAGAGAAATAAAAAGCAAACAATAAGGCAAATTAATTTCAAACCTTTGGGAAGTTTTGTGTTACTTATAGAGTGAAATTACTTGAACAATAATGCACGCAACAAAGAATGATACTACTCAAGTTTAGCTGCTATATAAAGGTAATAGTCGAACTATTTTTTGACAAACCTGATTAATAGAAAATCTGGTTTTGCTGGAGAAAAATACATAGACTTAAATCTTGATCTGATTATGGAACAGTCACCCATATCAGCTATTTTAAGATCACAGCTATTTCATTGCAATGGAATGCTGGCACTGAGCTTTACACGGTTTATACTAGTTTCTTTTCCCTGTAATTTTAAACTGAGTTTCTTTTGATGTATGCAAGCATAAATAAATCAGAGATGGGCTCAGAGCCCCAGGTGCAGAACATCCTCAATGCTATTAAATTTGAATATCACTGTTGGTTCTTCTTACCTGGTTTTAGCCTTCCATCTTTAGCTGCAGAGCTTTTCTCAACAATGCTTATTATCTGGAGATACGGCCCATTCTGTATGACTATGAGACCTAATCCATGTTTACCCATCCTAAGAGTTGCCTTCAGTACTGCAACCAGTGTGCAGTGAAAGATGCTTTCCAGTGATGGCACCTGCCCTTTGAAAAGTGAGAGGAAAATTTTACTGGTTGAAAGTGTGATATAATTCAACAGGCTTAAGGAGACATCTGAGTAGGTGCTGGACCCAGTCTTAATTGTCCAAACAGTTAAGTCCCTCATCTTTAACTGCTTCTTTAGATAAGCATTGCCTGCTATGTCATACATTTTACCAAGAGCAAAAGCAATACTGCTGTTATTTAAGTGTTCATTACTAATGGTGATTTATTCAGGGAAAGTAGAGAACAGGATACAGGATAAAAGAACAGAGGAGCTGTCAGCTATTAAGGACTTCAAGAAAAGATTGAATTCCTATAAGAATGTTTTTTTTTTCAAATCAATATTTATAAAGAAGTTTAATTTATAAATTTCCAGCAGACTGGTTCCACACCCTACTGCTGACATGAGGGAAGGGACTGCACTTGCCATAGTTAGCATCTACAGAAATAAAATACTCGAGCACCTGCTATCCATTAAAATGCAAAGTAATACAATATAAATGACATTTATCCCAGTGTCTCCACCAAGGAGTATACTAGGGATAATAAAGAAATCTCCTCCATCTCTCAAGCCTGTTCTCATTAACAGCCAGGAAAAATTAAGACTGTCACATGAGTGCTTCAGACTCCTAAACCAAGCTGTATTCTGTTAAAAATTACTTTCTGTCTCTGCTTTAAGATGTAATCTCTAAATGTAACTTCTGTCAGTAGAGTACCAATAAACTACTTGAGACCGTCTCCAGCAGTCTGAAAACACTTAATGAAAATTCCCACCACTTTACCCTCCTTCTCTAAAATACAGAAATTTAGTCATCTTTCCAATGGCTTTAGTAAAGCTTTGGATAAGGCTGCAAATGGCAACCCAGAATGTCTATAAAAGAATTAAGCTGGAAAGTATAGCAATGTGAACATGTTATTTGTCAATTTGGCTGCTAAACTGAAAAACAGAGAAGGAAGCTGGAATGGGTTTGTGTTTTTTTTCCTTCCCAATGAAAAATGCAGGGGTTTTTTAATGTTGTTTTAAATTAAATGTTGTTTTAAATTATTTTAAATTTAATTTGGATTAAATACTTAATTTGCATTGTCAAGCAAGAAAAGCAAAGGAAGACTCACCCTAGCACACCCTTTAACCTGTTGATAATTCTGACAGGTCAGATATCTGACCTGTGACTTTTGCTCAGGAATTTATGCAAGGTGGAACAGGATCAGTAGAAGTGATTGAAATCTTTCCTGTGGTGTTCTTAGTCACTTTTCAATGTGTGTTTCAATCTATTTCAGCCAGAAAAGGGAACTGAATCCTAGTTTCCTACGTCCAGAATAAGTACTTAATTTCCAGGCCAATAAGCATACACAGATTGTATGAAGTAAGACTATATTGTTTTCTAGCCAAAATTATTCAGCAAATCCCATTAAAATTCATGAGCATTTGTACGTCAGCAAATGATCAGCAATGAAATGGCAAACAAAAAACGCTATTATAAATCTAGCTTTAGTTATAGATACCAGAATCCTGACCTTAGGCGGCTTCTTACTACATGACATTATCTTGCTGGACATGAGAGTTTTAAAACCATGAAAACAGTGACAAAACCAAAACCTACAAAACAATTAGAAGGAATGCTAAAATGCACACTGTTAGCTGAGTCTCTTGTCTTTTTACTGTACCTGATATCAGTCTATATACTGTCCAAGGAAGGTGGATTTTCTCTTTGTTCTGTGCTACAGACAGTTTAGGTATTTGATAGAACTTACATTACAGTTGCCCTAACCCTCTCCTGATTTTCTCCAAGTTACCCTCCAATTCTGCAGTTTGCAGGCAGCAGTGTAGGATCTCTCTCTTCGCATGAAGAAACATCATTTTCCTTGTCACCTGCCTTTAATTCTGTTCCAAATACTTAACCTCAAGAGCAGAAATGCCTCTTGATACTAAGAAAATTTGGGGCACTGGGGGCTCTGTGAAGAAGATAAAGTGCCTGGTAGCACAAGGACTCAAGAAGTTTCAGATACTGAAAAGCAGGAGTGGAAGAATAGTGCTGAGGCCGCAGTGCGAAGATGGAAATGAACAGAGGAAGAAATGACCAAAAGAGATGACTTACTCAGAGTTTCATCCCCAGGCTCTTGTAAAGACTGGGTATGTTCCATCAAGTCCTGAGGAAGATCTTTTCCTTTAAAGCCAAAATAATGCTGGAGTGTCCTAGGTGAGCCTTTTGGAAACATGTTACTGTTCCATCGTGACCTGTGGAGGAAGAGTCTACCAGCAGGTGAGGAAACAACAGTGTCTAGCAACTACTCAGAATGCCAGGGCAGATGGGTTCCAAGCTCCCCCAGCACCACAACAGCACCACGGGCATGAGGAACTCTGGCATTGGGCAGAGGATGTGTCTGCATCTAGTGCATTGTTTCAGTCCAAGAGGAGATTTAGGCTGCCTGCCTGTCAATACCACAGTTCTGTCTGAAACCCCAGAGCTTTCTGGAGAACCTATAGCTGCTGGTGTCCTGCCACACAGCATCCTTAGGCACATAGTCATCCCCTGATAAAACTGAGAAAGATTAAATCAAATAACTGATCACACAGCCTGCATGATATGAAGATGACTCTGTCACTATTTCAGATTTCATATTTTCTGTATATCAAAAGCCAATGAAAACCACATCTTCCCTTTCTTTCTCCTTTCCACCTTTCCTTCATTCCTTTTGCCACAAAGCTGAGTTATTTGGAGATAAACATATTTTGAGACAGAATTTTACATAATGCTTGTATTAAAAGCTATTTTAATACCACTTAAAGCTGGTTTATAGGATAGTCACAGGTGATTCTTGGAAATAACGTATTTTCAAGGCAGCTCTATTGCTGTTGTTAGTGCAATATAATTTCTAATTTTTTAAATAAAAAAATCAATAGTTCCATTTATTCCATGCACCAATTGTTCCCTGTTTAAAGGGAATTTCAGCAGGTTTTCATCGAAAGTCTTATTACTTTCTCTACCCTTAAGAAAATCTGTCAAGAACAGGTGATTTCAACAGAACCTAAGTAGAGCTCTTGCCCTCCAAATAGTAAGCCCTGCTGATTGCTGTTGAACACTTTGTTTTACTAACATACCCATTTTGGTTGTATAGCCTTCCATCTACACAAAAGACTTACGTAAAGAGTTCAGATAGTTGCCCGCTTGGCTTCTGGAGTGTGATGCCGCTCTGGAAATAAACAAGAAGGTGTTTGCTGTTAGAAGGAAAAAAATACGCAAACATTAGGTATTTTTCCCACTACCTGTAGATATGAGGCCTACTAAACTGATTGAGTTCAGCATTCCCATGCCAGAATGACAATGTCAAAGGCACAGAGTTATTGTGGCCAGAATCCGGCTGGTTTCTCACATTTACTGCATAGTTCATTTATTGGCTACAGATTCCCCCATGCTTCAATACAAGTAAATCCATGGACAAGCATGTAACCAAAAATCGCTCTATTCAGGTAAGTTTTCTAGTCAAGATGAACTAGGTTTTCTCCCAAGCATACAATACAGACAGCAATGCAATGCAGTGCTGTTGTGGTGCTCCAGAGTCGTGTAAGGCCTGGAGGAACCTCCATGAATCAGTCTGTCCACTTCCCTGGTTTTACAGGAGCAACTCTGAAATTTAAGCTAACGCCCGCTGTTTCAAAGGGACAGAATGATAGTGACAAGAGAAACAATAAATTTATGATCGTTCCTCAACCCTCTATGCAGTGCCCACCAAGTTGCCCATTCTCGATTTCCCCTGGGGGAGGGCAAGCCCTTCCGGAGTGCACTGAGGTCTCCGAGCCGGTGCAGGTATAAAGGAGGGATGCCCGTGGTCCTCAGTTGAAAAACACCTTTGGAGACCGGGATGCGGGACAACTGCTGGGATCAGATGTGACAAAACGAGGCACGGAGGCCCCGGGTACCGGCCGCCCTCACAGCAGACACGCCCTGAGGCGGTGGCCGCGCGAGGCACCGCCCTCCGCGGGAAGCTCCGCCCCGCCAGGGGGAGAACGCCGGGGACAGTGGGTTTCTCTTCCGGGGTATTTGCCGTACCCCCCCCGCCCGGCGGGTTCGCTTCCGGCTCCGTCCGGGGGACCCGTCTGTGGCGCTGCTGCCGAGGGGAGCGCGGGGCTCATGGAGCCGTGGCTGTGAGGCGCCCCCGGCCCGGGCCCACTGTGGGAGCCGGGCGGAGGCCGGAGCCGGGAGCAGCTGGAGCCGGAGCCGGAGGAGATGGACAAATTGACCATCATCTCAGGATGCCTCTTCCTGGCCGCCGACATCTTCGCCATCGCCAGCCTGGCGAACCCGGACTGGATCAACACTGGCGAGTCTGCGGGTGAGCGGGGTGGGGTGGGCAGGTGGCGGGGGAGGGCCCTGCCGACATTCGGGGTGTCGGGGTCGGGCAGGGTGCGTGGCCTGAAGCGGCTGCGGGGACTGGGGAGGCTCCTCGTGAGGGGCAGCTCCTCAGGTGGGGCCGCAGGGCCTGGCACTGCCGCGGTGGGGCCGGCGTCACGGAAGCCTGTGGGGCTGGAGCTGCGAGGGGGCTCCTGGCTCCGTCCTTAGGGCGAGCTTCCCCCGATGTGGCCATGGGCGAGGCTCTGGGTCAGAGCTGGTGGGACCCTCCTGCCCGGTCAGAGCCACCGGTGCCCCCGGCTGCCTCCCGGCTGCTGGTCCCAGAGCCGTGTCTCCCAAGGGGTCCTGCACATGCCCCTGAAGCCTCTCCGCTGTCTGTACTGCCGGAGGCCCAGGGCAGCATCCCTGCCTGCGCCTCGGAGGTTCAGTCACCTTGGACAGGGAATGCGGATCAGTGTCTGGACATTTGTGGCAGGTTTTGAGTCTTTCGAACTATACTGATGCTCCCTTTGTTGCAGGGAAGATCTTGCTTTCCTTCGTCTTTCTTTTTTTCAGTTCCCCCCAGAATATTTCCTGCATGCTGATTGTTATCAGTGTTTAAGCCTAGATCCCATGTGTTTTTTATTTTAGAATGTGACATTGCTTTCTTTTAGAGAACAAGGATTTGTGTGTTTGTCTTTTTACTAATGATGTAATTGTTTGCATGACAACTTACTTCAGCCTGTTGATAAGGACCCGCATGTTCTGATCAGTGGAGCAGGGAGAGAGAATAGGAGGAGGGCTGCTCTTTCATCACATGTCCCAGAGAAACCCAAATCTCTATGTCAGGAAAAAAAGCCATCCTTACTATGAACAGATGAAACTATGTTAATCACCTTTTCCCAAACTGACAATTTCCAAGCAAACCACAGGTATAGAATAGAGAAAAGTGCTCTTGGGGTAAAGGCTTCTGTGATACATTCTTGCAGAGGGTTTGAAGAATTTTCTTTGTTTTGTCTTGCATTTTCCATGCCTAATATTCAGGCGTGTAAGAGGATCAGAGTGGTTCAAATGGAGTAATATTTCCTTTATTGTGATGAAGTAGATTACTGGAAATGTCGGCTGTTAGGGACTGATGACTGTTAGGGGTTGATTGATTCCCTCTGACCAGGTTATCCTTATGGTTGTTTGAATTGCTTCTTGTTACCTAGGCTGCAACTTGGCCTTTCATATGTGGTCCAGAGGAGAGAAAGGAGTCCCTTTCCTTCCCAAAGCGCAGCATTCAGGAACTCAAGATGACTTTAGCATTCCTCCTATAGCTAATTATGGTGCTCTTCTTGCCTATGGCTATATAAAACAGTTGGATCTTTCCTCTTACAATTCCACCTAGTAGAAGTACTGCAGTAGTGAGTTTTTCTTTAGGGGCTTGAAGTCAAGTAAAACAATCTTCATTTTAAATATTTAAGTATGACTTTCTTAAGTCCTGCCTCGTGTTAACAGATCCTGTAAGGTCTGTGCAATCTGTAAAATGCTGGATTCTTTCTGCCTGTGTTGAGAGGAAAGAACAAAAACTATTCTGATGAAGGTGCTGGGGGGGGGGTAGAGGTCTTTTGGGAGCTAAGCAGAGCCCATTATATCCTTCATTAAAGAAAAACGTTTAGTATCTCTTTATAATGCAAAACTCGTTTTCTGAAATATTATACCTGGAAACCATAAATTCTTAGTTACTTGATGGATAATTACTTAAAATTAATCTGCCATTTTGGCCCTGTACTCCTTTTAGGGGTGCACATAACAGTTTTAATTAGGCTGGCAAACATGAAATCTGTGATGTTTCTGAAGGACTTCACTAGTCAAATAATGTTTTGACAGACCTAAGCATTTTTCTTTGCTATATTTTGAAGCCAAACGAATTGTTGACTTGGTAGAATTGTAAAGGAGAACTAGCTGTCATCCTTCCTTAATGACTCTCTTGGAGATTTTTATTGGTGTGAGATTTGATGCACTCTAAGATGTCTGGTTGAAAGCAATATAAATGTATATTTCTAGTACTTAGACCTAAATTGAACCTTTTGCCCAAATTGTAAAGAAAGGAAGTGTGAGGATGCCCATTGAGTCGAGGACTTCCTATGGCAAACACTGTAGTATTGAATTATGAGATAAATACTTTTATGAGTGCCATTCATTACCCAGAGACTGCTGTAGAGAAGTATGGCACAGGAGGACACAGCCCTGATCGTGAGCCCTGTCCCAGCTGCTAGAGAGATTCAAGTGCTCTCAGCAGGCTAATATGCTTGGACCACATTCAAGCCATCCAACATCCATATCTGCCACTGAGAAGTACAGGGCTTTTTGAAGCATCCTGCTTTCAGCTGGCAAGAGAAACTATTTGGTGAAAGAAAATGTTTCTTTGCTTTACCTCTGGGTTCTTAAGTTCATCTCCTATGGGGATTATTCTAGATTCTCCTTCCACAAGTCAGCCTAATATAAAAGAGAAAAGGGGAGTTTCTCTTGTTGGTTGCTGTCCTCAGGGTTCTGAAAGACAGCATGGAACACCTTGGTCATCTCAGTACTGCAGCTGTTTGAGAACTGCATAGAGCAGAGGTCTTGGCAAACCTGGGAAGGCAGCACTGCACTGGTTCATTCACAGCTGTTTACAGCTGTTAAGGTTGGGAACCTGGGCTTCAAGGAAAGAAAGCAAGCTGTTCTGATTCGAATGCTAAACAATATGTACATCTTACTCCAGAGATAATGATGATTTTCTGCTAAATTGGATAGCAAAATCAGTGGCTTTAATGCTTTTCTGAAAAATCTAGATTGTTTTCAATTTATTTTTTTTTAAGGAGCTTATGTTCTGGGGAAGTTGATACAGGGGAAGGGCTGATCAGTCTCTGAAAGCTTACTCTTAAAGATAAGTTTTACAGTTTGAAAAATGTTGGCTTTAAAAATTCCTCTCCAGCACTGTAATTATGAGCAAAAGATTACAGCTGAGATCACTGAAGGTTTCAGATGCTTATCTTTCTTTAGGCCAGAGGAACTCCACATCTGTGGACATGGGTCCAAGTCTCTATTGGGTGCTTTTTCTTTATGCAGTTTTGTAAGAATTACTCATTAATTTGGCTTCAGGTATTTGATACATCTTTAAGATGATAAAGGAAAGATGAAAATTAAATTGACTTTTTCTTTCAGAGAGTTGTCAGTGAGGTTTCATTATTTGTGTTGTGCAGGTACAGAAGGTGATAACTCCAGTCTGGAAACCAGAGGCTTCTCAGCATTCTTGCACTGACATCCTTTCCTTGTCAAACTGATATTTGATGTGAGAAATAAGGACAGAGTTACCTTTAATTTAAGCCAGTGCCTAGGCTCCCACTGATTTCAGTAGTAGTGAATTTTGCTCCTGTATCTCTAAGCTTATTTTGTGATGAACTTTAAAAGCTGATAGTTTTGTCTCCGTATGTTCCTTTTTTTGTGTGGGAGGGTCTTTAATGATTTTGATATTTTGTCTTCAATATGGGAGGAGGGGGAATAGAAGTTGCTTTAGCTTCAGCTCCCAGCCCTTTTGGAGGGAAAAGGGTGTGAGCAGTAAGCACAGTTGAAATTAGACATGTTAAAAGCTGTACATGTAGGGGGATTGACAGTTTGAAATGCTTTTAGGATAGGTCAAATAATTCAAGAGGATAATTTAGTCAAATAAAATCCCCCCTCAGAAAGTGAAGCTTTCACTTTGTTTATATGACTTAGTCATCCCTTCCTATGTAGCATGATTGTTCATTTGATTCCAATTTACAGAACAACCTGTACCTTTTTTATAGCAGTCATTAAGCTAATATGGATGTCAGGATTTAAGGCTGCTAAACCCTGATGGGTAACTTCTAAAGCAAGTATTTATCACATCCTCTTATGCTGATACATGCACCAAAACGGGACACATGGTATAATGTTATAGCGAGGCCACTCAGAGTCTGCACACAGTGCTGACTTGGGCAATACTAGTGTTCATCAAAGCTTCCAATTTCATCTCTTATCTGTGACATAAGCATCAAGGTCACTTATGTCAGGAATTATACTCTTAATTTAAACTGCCTTCTGTTCCATGCCATGAAGCAACTGTATGATAGTAAATTGTGAATCTACGATATGCCATTCATTTTAAATTGTCTTTTCTTTTTAACAAATGCTGCCTTTCCACATACCTTCCAAAGTATTATGTGTAGTTCTTCATTTTGCATACTCAGTTGCATTTTATGTTTGTGAAGTGTGATTCCAGATTCTGTGTTATTTATAGTCTTACAGAAGAGGAAGCTATACCCAGCAAGCCATCCCTCCTGAAGCAGTTAACTCCCAGCTCCTGTGAAATAAGTTGCCTAGTACTGAGTGACAAATTACTGTTGTTCAGTGCTATTCCTCTGTGTGTGATAGTTCTTCCTGAGGAATTTTGCTCCATGGCTCCAACAGGAGCGGTAGCTTTGATGGCATCAGCTTAATGAAGTATCATGAGGTGATAGAACCAAGCAATGATTGGTGGCTCCTGCTGAGCTTGAGACCATATTGCCACAGAAACATTTTTCTGTACTTGGAGCACTGACTATGCAGGGAATAAACCTATACCACATGAAGGTACTGGAATGAACCAGTATTTCTAAGTAGAATAGATAGAATAGAATAAATAAACCATCAACACCTTAAAAGAGAGTGTAAACCTGAGTTCCAGATAGCATTATTGTTCTAAATGCAGTCGTCTACTCAAAAAGTAGTCATATGTAAAAATTAGTATGGCATATTGCCACTTCTTCCCTTTAGGGCTTGTGCTGAGAAACTCTTGCTGTACAGTGCTCCTCTTTGGAGAAATCATGGTATAGAGCAATCTTTTGCTGTCCAGCAAAATAGATAATGTTTAACACTGAACATGGGAGTGATAAAATTAGGTTCTGAAACATAATTTTTAGGAGAATACCTTCCTTGTGGTAGATGCCTACAGGTGTGTAAACAAGGAGGGAAAAGTGG